GATGAGCTGAAGGAACATGCAACACACGAACTTGACCAATAGCAACACGTTCCCTGACAAAATGCAAATCTATTTCCACATGTTTGGTTCTTTGGTGCTGAACCGGGTTAGAAGCAAGGTACATGGCACTCACATTATCACAGAACCCAACCGTAGAGCGAGTCAAGGGGCAGGAAAGCTCAAGGAGAAGGTTCCGAAGCCAAGCAGTTTCAGCAACCACATTAGCTACCCCCTGATACTCAGCTTCAGCACTAGACCGAGAGACGACGTACTGGCGTTTGGAGGACCATGAGACAAGATTATCACCTAGATAAAAGCAGAACCCAGAGGTGGACCAACGAGTCGAAGGACAGCCGCCCTAGTCAGCATCAGAGTAGGAGACCAAACGATCAACATGAGACGGACGGATGAACAGACCATGATGAAGAGAACCCTTTAAATAACGAAGGATTCGCTTAAGGGCATGGAAGTGTGGTTCGCGAGGATCATGCATGAACAAACAGACTTGTTGAACCGCATACGCAATATCTGGACGAGTGAAAGTCAGATACTGTAACACTCTTGGAAGACTTCTGTAAAGGGTTGGATCAGAAACTGGCTTTCCAGAGGGAGGGAGCTTGGATTTAGTGTCCGTCGGAGTGCTACACGAGTTACAGGAGAGAATATTGGCACGAGAGAGAATCTCCTTGACAAAGGCACTCTGGGAAAGAAACAGGCTGTCTGAGGATCGAGTAGCAGTAATGTCGAGAAAGAAAAAGAGGGGACCTAAGTCTGTCATGGCAAACTCAGACGAGAGACGAGTGATTACGCGTGTGACAAGCGTTGGGCTGGAAGCAGTAAGGATGATATCATCCACATAAAGAAGAATATGGATGGTTTCGGTGCCACGGTGAAAAGTAAAAAGAGACGTGTCCGAACAACTGCTAGAGAAGCCAAGCGAGGAGATGAAGACGACGAATCGCTGATACCAGGCACGAGGAGCCTGTTTGAGGCCATATAAAGCCTTGCGAAGTCGACAAACGTGATCAGGGAAAGAAGGATGAACATAGCCAGGAGTTTGCTTCACATAAACCTCTTCTGTTAAATCGCCATGAAGGAAGGCGTTTTTAACATCTAGTTGATGAATCGGCCATCGACGAGAAACAGCAATGCTGAGAACGGTACGAATGGTGGCTGGTTTGACAACCAGACTAAAAGTGTCATCGAAGTCAAGTCCAGGTTGCTGGGAGAAGCCTTGAGCAGTGAGACGACCTTTATATCGGTCAAGGTTCCTGTGGGAGTCAAATTTGTGACGGTATAGCCACCGGCAGCCAACGATGTTGGCGGAAGGAGGTCGCGAAACAAGATCCTATGTGTGATTGTCAGCTAGAGCTGACATCTCGGCGTCCATAGCTAGTTTCCAATTTGGATCACTCATAGCCTGAGCTGTGGATCTGGGAATGGGAGAGATGTCGGAGGTAGCAGAGAAATTCAAAATGACTCGAGGTTTTAGGGACCCAGTACGAGAGCGAGTGGTCATGGGATGACCAGCGGTCGGGGAGAAGGGATGGTTGAACGGGTGTGGGCGAGGGTGGTGAATCGACCACCTGGTCAGTGGAGGAAGGGGCCACGAAAGGAGAGATGACGGGTGGGGGATCATCGTCCGGAGTGAACTGAGCATAATCAGACTCGGAAGGAGTAGGATGAAAATCAGAGTAGGGGAAGTGATCTTCATCGAATATGACATGCCGAGAGATGATGACACGTTGTGTGACTAGATCGAGGCACTTATGCCCCCTGTGATCGGGAGCAGGCCCAAGATAAACACACGCAGTGGATCAGGGAGAAAGTTTATGAGGAGAGGTGGACGATGTGTTGGGGTAGCACAGACAACCAAAGACCCGAAGATGGTCATACTTTGGAGAGAACCCAAAGAGAACTTCAAATGGTGTCTTAAAATATAGAGTGGTGGTGGGAAGAATATTGATAGTATGAACAGCAGAGAAGAGCCTCAGTCCAAAATGCAAGAGCTAAGGAAGCCTGAAAGAGAAGCGTACGAACAATGTTGTTAAGAGAGCGTATGGATCGTTCGGCTTTTCCATTTTGCTGAGACGTATAAGGGCAAGAAAAGCGAATAGCAATGCCATTCAATTGAAGATACGTGAGAAGGAGATGATTATTAAATTCACGACCGTTATCACACTGAAAAGATTGAATGTCAGCTTTAAATTGATTTTTGACATACATGCGAAAATTGCAAGAAACAGCATAAACATCAGATTTGGCACGTAACGGAAAAACCCACAAAAAATGTGAAAAATCATCAAGAAAAAGAATATAGTATTTAAAACCACCCAAACTAGTAATGAGAGATGTCCATAAATCAGAGTGAACAAGCTCAAACACACGAGTAGTTTTAGTCAAAGAAGAAGAAAACGGCAACCTATAATGTTTACCAAGTTGACAAGCATGACAAATGGAAAATTTATTGTTACTACTAGAAATAAAATGATATGTCGTCAAAAACTAGAGAACGAAAGAGCCAGGATGTCCTAAGCGGCGATGCCAAGTGGGAAGCGATACTACAGCGAGAGCGGAGTCCGTGACTGGAGTGGGAGGAGTGCACGGGTATAAATCACCAACACTGTCACATCGCTGAAGAAGGGCACCAGAGTCAAGATCCTTAACAGAAAAACCAAAAGGGTCAAAAGAGACAGAAACCCAATTATCAGTAGTGAATTTACGCACAGACACTAAGTTTTTGATTATTTGATTTGACACTAAAACATTTTTAAGAGAGAATTTATCACGAGAATAAGGAAGAAAAGCTTGACCAATATGAGAAACCGGAATAATAGCACCATTACCAACCATTATGAATTTAGAATTACACGGAGTGAGGGAACGCATATTACCTTGATTAAAATTCATGTGTGAACTATCCCCCGTGTCCATGTAGTGTTAATTGTCGGGTGGAGGTTGGATCGACATTGCTTGGAAAATTGAAGACAAATATGTGGGCTAATTTGGAGCTTGAAAAGTCGGACCAAGAGAAGAAATTGGGGCGTTGGGCTGCTGTTGAAATCCGGATGAAATGGGCCTGTAAGATGAGTTGATGGACTGCCCAAAAAAGACAGCATGTGGCTGCGGCGCTGAAGTAATCTGCTGGGGCAGAAATGTGGGTCCAATTGGCTGTTGGGCCAAAGACGCATGATGGACCGGTGGAGGATTATAGGCGCCGACAATGTGAGGCGTGAGTGGCAGTGGGCCACCTTGAGTTGGAACATTAAATTGCAATGGGGCATGAGGGTAAGCAGTAGCATTTTGCACACCAAAAAAATAAGGAGATTGATTTGTAGCTTGTGCATTTGGGCGTGCTCCCATAATTCCTGCAAACTGAGAGCTTGTATTTGTACCTGCAGATTGGTTAGTGTTGGAAAAAATACCCGAATTACCCCCCCCCCCCTTTGGAAGTATTCTGATTATTATTACGGTTTTTATTCCATTTGTTTTTCGATTTTCCGGTTTGGTGAGGGACAGAATAAAGAGCCGTTGTGGTGGTAGTCATCGGGTCTAGCTTCATGTCATTGTTATCTTCGCGGTTTTCATGTAAAAGTAGCATATTCTTGGCTTCCATGAATGACGGGAAGGGTTTGGTGTTGGTAACAATATCAACAATGCTATGATAGGAAGGCGGAAGACCACAGAGTATTTGCATGACAAGTTCGGATATTTCGGAGTCGACATCATGGGGAGCATCGGCGAGATGTTTGAGGTTATGAAAATAATCATGAATTGAGGAAGCACCTTTCTTTGAGTTACGAAACTGTTCTTGAAGTTGGAGCATTCTTGGCATTTTATTGTTGAGAAAAAAAATTCATGTAGGTTGTCCCACATGTCTTTAGCGGTGCATGAGTCCTTGGTAATAACTTGTAGTACGGAGGGATCACAAGTGGAATAGAACCAGGACTTGACATGAGCATCAATGGAGTGCCAATCTTCATCATCATCATCTTTAGGTACGGATTTTCCAGTAATATCACCCAAAACCTTAGCCCCTATTATGGCCCCTAAAACATCATAATTTGTGGATTTATGAATAGTTTAGAATTATATTAGGTTTGTCGTTCCAAAAACCTTAGCCCCGGTACAAATATCTTTAAAAATACCACACCAAAGTTTGTATTTAGATCCGTCAGACGTGAGTTTGAAACTGAAGGAATTGTATACGTTGGTTACAGCATAAACAAGTTGCTGTGCAGTAGGTGTGGTATTTGAGGTTCCGGCAACGGTGGTCATGGTGTGGAAAATCGAAAAACACAAGGTAATAAACTAACATAATAATAATTAGATAACTAACGTTCGAAAGAGGGATTAGAGTAAATTTACCGAACTAAACCGTGAATGTTGTAGAGATGGAGGCAGCGGATAACAGACGTGAATTGTTGGAGCTGACCAAAAAGTAAGATCGCAGACAATTGGTTGCAGTCGATGAGTGGCATAGCACCTGGGCAGGAGGCAGGCGTGAAATCGTACCCAGAGAAGGAAGAACGAACGAAAAAAAACACGACTAATTTTGTATGCTAGGTCATCGGCGGCTTGTCCAAGCTCGATACCATGTTTGAGTGTGGAAATTATCCCCCTTAGGGTTTGCATTGAAAACATCAGTATAAATAATACAGGGTTTGAAATAATTACATAAGGACCCCTAGACTATACAACATATAAATATATACATAATTAACAGTATCCTTTCAGTATCACAGTATATTACAGTATCTAGACCACTCTAATAATTTCCTGACAGGTTACAACGGATTAAATAATTGTGACCATCTAACGTATCTGGACCTTAGTGATAATATTTTTGTCGGAGAAGCAGTTAATTGTTCGAATTTCATATGGTTAAGGTACTATAGTCTAAAGGATTCTGGCATTGTTGGGGATATTGTACAGAAACTGGCTTTCTATGCAAGCCCTCCAAAGAACACAAATACATCATCTTCGAAATTCTTCTTCCCATGATTGTTGGAGTTTGTTTCTTAGTGATTGGTTATGTGCTTTACAATCATAAAAAGGCTACCACGGAGAAAAGTCAACCAGAAATACAAAAACATGGAGATGTGTGCTCGATATTGAATTATGATGGGACACTTGCGTTCGAAGATTTCATCAAGGCAACAGAGGACTTCCACCTCAAATACTGCATTGGAACCGGTGGCTATGGAAGTCTTTATGAAGCAAAACTGCCTAACGGTAAAACATTTGCTTTGAAGAAACTCCATCGGTTTCATGCCAAGCAACCAACATTTGACAAGAGTTTCAAGAACGAGATCCAAGTCTTAACCAACCTAAGGCACAAAAACATTGTGAAACTCTATGGTTTTTGTTTGCATAACCAATGCAATTTCCTTGTATATGAATACATGGAAAAAGGAAGCCTATTTTGCGCATTGAGTAACAACGAATTCGTTGTCATGTTGGAATGGAAGACGAGGGTAAAAATTATCAAACAGGTAGCTCATGCTTTGTCATACATGAATCATGACTGCTTCCCAACCATCATTCATCGAGACATATCAAGCAACAACATTCTCTTGAATAAAGAAATGGAAGGATTTTTTTCCAACTTTGGAGCAACTAGATTGCTCAACTCTGATTCCTCTAACCAAACCATTGTCGTAGGACCTTTGGGATACATTGCTCCAGGTATGTATGTGTAGATTCTAATGATACCTTTGCCTCTGTTAGTAGGTGAAGTTAAACTAACAAACTTTTGGTATAAACATGTAGAACTTGCATACAACATCATTGTGAACGAAAAAAGTGATGTGTACAGCTTTGGAGTGCTTGCACTTGAAACACTTGGAGGGAAGCATCCCAGAGAGCTTCTGTCAACCATCAACTATTCTAACGGGAAAGGTGCAACGTTGGAAAGCATATTTGACAAACGACTCCCTTATCCAACTGACGACAAACTGATTGAAATGTAAATTCTCCGTGTTTATGATGTTGCACTAACATGCATTCGCATGGACCCAAAGTCTCGTCTAACAATGAGAAATGTCTCTCAGGAATTATCCTAATGTGGCCTCATCTATACTTGATGATCATATCTTTGTTTTTGTGCCTGTTGAAATAATTCAGAGTCCAGGTGCTTTTTCTGTACATTTTAATTGGTGTTATTTAGCTTTCTCATTTAAAAAAAAATCAAAGACCACATGTGAAGATGATTCCCTGGTCTTTAGCATGTAGCTAGTTAGTTCCTTTTTTCTGCTAAGTTTCTAGTTTAAATAGATAGGCAAGTGTACGTTGGGTAATTGTATTTCCCTGTTTTGTTTTTGCTGTTCAATGAATAAAGTAGTACCACTTTGCCTCATTTATCTCTGTTATTCACCTATGCTCTGTTCACTGTGCAGCCTTCTTTAAAGCTGTTTATTCCAGTTTTACCCTTCTCTGTCATTTGTCAATTATTTTGTCTCCTGTGCAGTTTGCTTTCCTGTGCCCTGTTTCTTATTTTGGTAAAAAAGACTTTGTTACCCCTGAAAAATACCAACATCTGGTATCAGAACTTTCAGGTGCATGCCCAAGTACCAGTCTCGAGAAGAAATGACTGGAAACAATGGAAATGGTGACAAGGAAAGTGAGGTCACTCTTCATTACCCAATGCTCTCCAGAAGTAATTATGGTGCATGGGCTATAAAGATGAGAGTCTTCATGCAAGCTCAAGGAGTTTGGGAAGCAGTGGAGCCCAAGACTCAGATGACGGTTGTGGAAGTTAAGAAAGATAAAATGGCTTTGGCAGCCATCTATCAAGGTATTCCTGAAGATTTGTTACTCTCATTGGCAGAGAAGAGGACAGCCAAAGAGCCATGGGATGCCTTGAAGACCGTGTTTATGGGAGTAGATAGGGTGAAGACAGCAATAATACAGACACTGAAGACAGAGTTTGAAGCCATGACAATGAAGGAGACAGAAGGTGTAGATGACTTTGCTGTGAAAATATGCAACATTGTGAGTACTATGCGCACTCTTGGGGACACTATAGAGGAGTCCTATGTTGTGAAGAAACTGTTGAGGGCAGTACCACCCAAGTTTCTCTAGATTGCTTCAACAATTGAACAATTTGGAGACATAAAATCCATGTCCGTTAAAGAAGTTATATGAAGAATTAAAGCATATGAAGAATGGATGAAGTGCCATGTTGAGCCAGAAGATAGAAAGCTTCTCATGACCTATCAACAATGGTTAGAAAAGAACAAGAAGAAAGGTGATGGTGACTCAAAACTAAGACAAACCGAGGTGGTTTCAGTGGTTCACGTGGCAGAGGAATAGGTCGTGGTGGTTGTGGTAGAGGAGGTCACCATAATCAAGGAGGCCAAGGCACATCTTGCAGTCAAGATAAAAGTGGTGTGCAGTGCTACAATTGCCAGGAGTTCGGGCAATATGCAGCTGAGTGCAAGAACCCAAAGAAAGAGAGAAATCAAGAAAGCAATCTAGTCCAGGATGATAATGAACCAGCTTTGTTGTTGTCAGCCTTTGAGGCTAAAGAAGAGACAGGGGAAGTATTCTAAATGAAGAAAGAGTGAAGCCTGAAGTAAAACCAAATGGTGGAGTCTTGAATCAGTCAAAGGTGTGGTATCTTGACACTGGGGCCAGCAACCACATGACTGGGGACAAAAACAAATTTCAAAGCTTGGACAGAAAAGTACACGGGGTTGTGAAATTTGGAAATAAATCCAAAGTAAGAATCAAAGGGAAAGGATCGATTCTACTAAAGTGCAATAATGGAGAAGAAAGAAAATTGAAGGATGTGTATTACATACCTAACCTTTGCAGCAATATAATCAGCTTTGGGCAGCTTTTTGAAGGAGGTGATGAGATCAAAATTAAGGAGCCTTTCCTGTGGGTGCATGATGATACTGGAAGACTACTAATGAAGGTGAAGAAGTCCCCAAACCGACTCTACAAAATCCATCTAGAAGAGGTCATACCAAGGTGCTTAGTGGCTGATCTTAATGAAACTACATGGCTCTGGCACACAAGGCTAGGGCATGTGAACTTTACCTCTTTGAAGACTATGTCTGAAAAGGCTTTGATTGAAGGAATTCCCAAGGTGGTGGTGCCATCGGAACCATGTGAAGGGTGTTTAATAGGGAAGCAAACAAGAACACCATTCCCAGCAAGTACAAGCTTCATGGCCACGAAGAAACTGGAGCTGGTCCATGGCGATCTGTGTGGACCAGTCTCACCTCCAACACCTGTAGGTAACAGATACTTCATGTTGTTAGTTGACGATTACAGCAGGGTCATGTGGGTGTATTTAATGAGAACAAAAGATGAAGCTTTTCATACCTTCAAGAATTTCAAAAGCAAAGTGGAGAATGAAACTGGTGAAAAGCTAAAAGTATTCAGAACAGAACGTGAAGGTGAGTTCTTGTCGAAGCAATTTGATGAGTACTGCAATGAGACTGGACTGGAGCGCCACTACACTTCACCCTACTCGCCGCAGCAGAATGGGGTGGTGGAGAGATGGAACCGAACGGTGCTAGAAATGGCTAGGAGTTTCCTGAAGACGATGTCGGTACCCGATGTATTATGGGGAGAGGTTGTGAGTCATGCAACCTATATCCTAAATCGAGTAAGATCCAAAGCTCTCCAGGAGGCCACACCGTACGAACTGTGGACAGGTAGAAAACCACACGTTGGCTATTTGAGAGTCTTCGGTTGTGTTGCGCACATGAGAGTAGTAAAGGGTCATCTAAAGAAGTTGGATGATAGGAGTAAGAAAGTGGTGTAACTGGGTACTGAGAAAGGCTCGAAGGCTCATAGATTGCTTGATCCTGATACTGGTTTGGTACATGTGAGCAGGGATGTAATATTTGAAGAAAATCGGAGATGGGAATGGGAGAAATCGTCGAAGATCAAATCAACACTAGGGATATCTTTCTCCGTCGAAGGCTTCGACTTCGGTGACGAGTTTTACAGGGACGATGGTGAATGGGTCTCGGATACATCTGAACACGTAAGTGGGTTGGATACAGCTGAGAATGAAACCGGGGCACCAAATAGTAACGATGTCTGGGCCGAATCCTCTCAGCCCATTAACTCACCAGCCGATCCAAGCCCACACACTACACCCGATAACACACCATCGGGTACACCCGGTTCTCCATTTACACCAAATTCCCCAACCCATTTAGCGACTCCAAGTACCGCCTCAAGCTCCACCGGTGGCGGTGCTCCAAAACGATACTGCCTACTCACTGACCTGTACGAAAACACTTAAGAAATTGAATTACCACCGGAAGAACTCATGATGGTGAGCAGCGATGACGAACCTTCAACCTATACCGAGGCTAGTCGCAAGAAGGAATGGGTACAGGCGATGGAAGCTGAGATAGCCTCGATTGAAAGAATCCATACCTGGAGCCTAGTCGAACTCCTAATAAATCGGAAGCCAATTGGTTTGAAGTGGGACTTTAAAGTAAAACGAGACCCGACTAGAAGAATAGTGAAGCACAAAGCTAGGATCGTGGCAAAAGGCTATGTGCAGAAGTATGGAATCGACTATGACGAGGTATTTGTCCCTGTGGCTGGAATTGAAATTGTTCGTGTTATTCTTGCTCTTGTTGGTTCGAATGGCTGGGGTGTTCATCACCTTGATGTGAAGTCAGCATTCTTGAACGGGTTGTTAGAAGAGGAGGTGTATGTCACACAACCAGAAGGTTTTGAGAAGAAAGGTGAAGGAAACAAGGTCTAGAAACTGTCTGTGACAACCCGAAATTTCTATTATGTACAACAATTCACTTCAATAGGAGCCAGAACTATTTCTGCTAACTTTCAAGCTTTTTGGGAAAAGTTTGAGTGTTTTAAGATTTATACTTCAAGAGATAACAGGAGAGAGGATGCCCTAGGGTTTATTGTGCATCAATAGAGTTCCAAAAACTCCAAGAGTTTGGAGTTTACGGCCCAAATGGTATTAGGGCCGTAAACCCTAATGACTATATAAGTGACACTTAGTTTATTTTTAAACTTTTTCCACACTTCCAAGTCTAGAATCGATTCTCTCTCAAGTATCATCCAAGGTTCTTCAAAAATCTTCAAGAAAGTAAGTGTTTTCTTCCTTATTTAGTTGATATCTACCTTAATCTAGTGATCTAATATGATTTCATCCATGAAATCATTCCATATATGTAGATCTTCAAGTGTTCTTAGTTTCACCAAGAACACCAAGAACACACACTAGTGTTTTTGGACTTTTAGCACCTTTTCAAGCTTCTACTTGTAAGTACTCTTACCCTAGTGTGTTATAGGGCTTGTTATACTTCTTAATCAACTAGAAAACACCAAGAATCAAAGGATCAAAGGTGTTTACGGTCCAAGAGCACCTTGGACCGTAAACCCTATTAAGGGTGCCAAAGTGTGCCCTAATTCCTTCTAAGCCTTGGAAACTAGTCTAGACCCCTTCCTTGATGCGTTTAGTACTTGAAAACATCAAAAGACCATAAACCATATGGGTTTACGGCCGTATACACATGGAGAAGTGGTCCATGGACCGTAAACTCCATTTAGGAGTGAAATGATGCCACAAACACTTCTTAAGGCTTATACTTGAAGTAGGATGCCTCCTTATGACTTGAAAAGCTTCAAAACACAAAAGGGTAGAAGTGCCATGAGTTTACGGCCGTAAACTCATGGGTTTATAACCGTAAACTCAATGAGTTATGGTCACAAAACCATAAACTCCAATAGAGGGTCCTCTTGAACCCTAAACTCAATAGCCAAGCCCTACAACCCTTAGATGCAATCCTTAGGACTTATAGCACTTAAATCAAGTGTTTTACATGTCTTAGGATGTCTTAAACTTGGTTAATTAGTTGTTTAATGACTAATTGGATACATATATGTGTTATTATATGTTAATTAGGATCCTTGTGTGTGCTCAAGTCTTCACTTGACACTTAGCATCCTATATCCAATCTGTTCATCC